TCTATCCTGTTTGTTGGCACCGTGTTGATACAGAATGGTATTCGTTTGCACAACTTCCAACATCTGGTTTTAACACCTGTCTACAACAGATTTATTGTAGGTGCACTATGAATCTACCTGTATGTGCATTGTTTCTGTAAAACAGTCCATGACATGTATTATAGCTATCCACAGAAAAACACATGCTGCGTCTCCAAATCTGGGCATTTTAAAGGATTAAAGGATGGCTCACATTTGATCATGACAGGTGCCTATATGGACATCCTGTAATCAATCCTCCTGTTCATAGTGGCCATTAAAAGATCCATTCAAATACGTTAATATGAGGCTGCAGCAGTCTGAATTACACAAATCATGTGGATATCTTCCAAAGTTAGTCATTTTAGTCCTAAAACCTCTCTGTGTTAATGTCACTTCATCACAGCTCAACACGGAAACACGAGTGAATTCTGTACTGAAAAGATTGTAACTTTGGGAGGAAAAATCTTCAGATTAACTTTGGAATGTAATGCACAGGAGGACGACTGTGGAATTCGTCCCCCATCACTTACATTATAAAGAGACCTTTTAATGGCCACCGGAGAAATAATTAAAGCAAGCAAAGCCAGTTTAAATGTTCATATGGCCACCGGAATATTGTTGACGGACGTCAAAAGCAGTAAATCTATCCTTTATGGTTTGAGAAAATTCTACTCGGCAATTAAAAACCTACTGGATTACCTGTTCAATTATAATATGGTATTGTCTTTAGATATGACAGCAGTGATAATCTAAGAGATTATTTACCTGTTGTCGAACGGCTCGTCTGAATCCAAGTGTGCAAGTTGGTGAAAGTGAAAGTATTTGTGGTTTAGCATCAGTTCCTTCTCAGATGTTTTGCTGAAACATTCTTGATCTCTATGATGTTGTGCCAACGCAGTGCCACATACAGAACATTCTGTTTGTTGAACCTGATTGTCCCGTTTCAGGGTGTGAGAGTTATTAATCACACGGGAAAACTGCATTTCGGGGAATCGACTTGTTAGCTTCCTGGTGAAGAATCAGCCGAGCAGGTTAATACCACTCGTATGTCTGTGCGGTAAAAACTGAAGGCAGTTAGCTTAGCTTAGCATAAAGACTGGAAATGGAGGGAAACTATAATATAATAAAATATAATAAAATGTTCTGATATTTTATGAGCTCATATGTATTTTATATACAACCTAAATCTAAAAAGCTGCAGTAAAAAGTAGAGTATCTATATATACAAATGATCAAATTAATAAACTTCATTTGTTGCTGTTCACACTTTTCCACAGCGTGTGTCCTCGCTTTAAGTGTTAAAAGAGTTGTTGACCACATCACTTCCCACCAGAGTTATTCTGTGGTGGGAAAGTCAGTTGGGCAATAAGAGTGGTGAGAGGCACGGGGGCCCCGGGGCACGGGGCTATGACGTGTAGGACAGGCCTGCGGACCATGGTTCCAGGTAGAGGCATCGGAGCTGTGTGGGGCATGATGCTGGAGAGAGGCATAGGGGTTGTGGGGCTAGACATTGGGGACATAGTGCCAGTAAGAGTCTGTCCATTGAAATCTACTCCATTCGGACTCCTTCCTGAAAAAGCTTCATAGACTCTGTGCAGCATGTACACCTGCTCGATCTGCAGGGCCCCAGAAAGCACCTGGAAGTTCTCAGAGAGTCTTTCGTTCAGCTCGCGGAACTTGTCTTCGTGGCTTCTGGACTTCAGGAAGTTCTCAACCTTTTTAGTTTGGGAATATTTAATCAACACACCCTTGGCAAAGGCCAGTGTGCTGCAGAGTTCCCTCAGAGTGTTCTCCACGACCGCGGAGATTTGGCCCGGCCCTCTTTGTTTGATGGTGAGAACCAGTTCCTCCAGCGCTCTCACTCTCTTAGCAGCTCGTTGGTAGCGCTCCTTGTTGGCCTGCACATTCCTGTCCATCTGGTGGATGCCCATGCACAGGGACAAGATCGGGTCTACGAAATCCATGATTAACGCTGCAGAGACGGAGAGGCAGTTAGCCTAGAATGAAATGAACAACTTAAATCAACAAAACTGAAACTCATTTGTGGAGAAAATGTCTTGTGAAAGCACCTCTTCAAATCTCTGTAGAGAGCCGAGTATTGTTTTCATGAGACAAGAATCATTTGAGTTCAAGTCAAGTCATTGCCAAGTAGGCTTTCATATACTCAATAACGCATTTACTTTGGTGTTTGGTGCACAACAATAAACAAGAGAAAATTAAAGAGAACAGCTAGTACTGCAAAAGTTAAAAAAAACATTTATAAAATAGAAAAAAATTTGAATTAAAAAAAAGTTAAATATATCCATTTTTGCTCTACACCACGTACATAAGTCACGTGGATTCCAGTCAGACGTCTGAAGGTGTGTTCACACTGAACAGGAAGCATATTTAAGAGAGATACGTGATTACATACAACGTTAATAGAAAGATAAGACTCTCATGCTGGTGGCATGAACTCAGGGGAATATGTGCCTATGCAAGATTAAAATACATCTTGCATAGGTATGGTATTTTTTCATTTCCAGATAAACTAAAGGATTAAATGGAGCTCACATTATTTTAAACAGTCAGGTGACACTTTAACATCAAACCGGTTTTGTCTCTTGTAATCAGTCCTCCTGTTCATAGTGGCCATTAAGAGATCCCTTCTTAATGCACTTCTAAATGTAATAATTATCTATAATATGAGACTTCAGCAGTCTGAATTAAACAAATCATGTAAATATCTTAAGTACAAAATTCTTCTGTTTCCATGTTGACCTGCGGTGAAGTGATAGTAACACAGAGAAAGACTCTGTAACTAAAAAGACTAATATTAGAAGACATCCGCTCCATAAAGTCACATATTAGCTTCAGTTGTGTACACATTGAGGGCTGTGGATCTTATCATCCCGTCTTGACATTAAAATTTAAAGCATTAAGAGGAATGATTAAAGCAAGCAAAACCAGCTTCATATCTTTAAACCTTTTACCTTTCTTAAAAAATATATTCAAAGCTCCTTAATGAAAATAATTGTACTTCTTTAGCAAAATAAAACATCAAACCAAATTGATTATCTGATCAATATATTAATTGTCAAATTTTATGTGAAAGAACATTTGTGTTTTAGCACCGCCGTAACTTCCCCGTTCTTCTCAAGTCATGTATCTGAAACATTCATGGTATCCATGACGCGGTGCACACACCGTGATACAGACACTACTGTTTGATAAACCTGCTCCTGCCGTTCAGCACTGTAGGAGTTAGAGTCCACTAGAACCAATCACGTAGATGGTTTGGAGTTTGGGCATCCCTGAGGAATGCGAGCACCCAAAACCCCACTGTGGAGGCGAGAATATCATCCGCACAAACAGAGTTTCTATCTGTCGCTCATAGAGTGTGAAGCGCATTATTTTAGTAAGTATTTTAACAAGTAAAGGGAGTTAAAGGATATTATTACTATACTATAGTATGTCGAAAAAGGTTTTAAAAAAGTGAGAGTATAGTATGTCGAAAGAAAGTCTAAACAAATTCATGCTATATTATGCTGAAAAAAGTCATGAAACAGTCGTAGTGTAGTATGGCAGAAAAAGTCTTAAAAAGTCATCGTATAGTATATCGATAAAAAGTCATAGTATTTTGAAAACAGTCATAGTATAGTATGTCGGTACAGAAAACACATCACAAACATCATTCAAAGTAACAACACTCTGGGACACCAACGCCGGTCTCCTGGTTGAAAGTCCTGTTTGTTTTCCACCTCCTCTCTCACACACCATTAGTAATCTTCTCATTCTTTATACTACGTTATTTGCTCTTAGCGTAGCATATTCATGCGTATCATTTACATTGCAGTCAGTGCAGACTAAATGATGTAAAATGACACCAAACAAATGTTAAACCAACACATTTTGTTCAGCAATTTAATCTTTACAAACTCATTTTAAGCTTGAATGCAATCGGCAAAAGTAAAAAAATTAAGTTATAAACAAACTACACCACGGAGTATAGACAACGAAGCTGTGATGATGTGTCGTAATCTCAAATATATCATAGAATAAAACGTACGCTTGTGTTAACTACTGACCTTATTTCAGGTGTCTGAACAGAAACCAATTAGATTCAAGACGAGGGAACTGGAAGTGCAAAAATGCTGACTCATTATCCGGGTTTTAGAACTCCTGCAGAAGTAATCCTCCTGCACTTATTGCCGTCCAAAGTTAAAATATTTTACCTCCTTTGTCCGCCTTGGCATAATTTACAACCAGATGTTACGTAGCTCCCACACAAGGATTAGGTTTGCAAGAGAATATTAAGAGAAAGCAGCATTTCATAGCTACATGCATTATTAGAATATTTACTTAAAATAGTGGACACTAATACACAATTATTCTTAAGTTAATAATCATTTTCAGCTATGAAACTTGACCTTGTCTAAGAAGAAGCATACGCAGTTTGTTGACAAGTGGCCACGATATAAGTGGGATGATAATTTAATGCCTTATAACGTGTTACGCTCAGTGACAATTAGCAGCGAGTAGGACGGCATCGTCTGCAAACTGTAGAAATGATTTCTGACTTCAATGAAATCTACCCTTTACAGCTGTTTTTTGAACAATTCCACCAGTGATATCAACAAGTAAATGTGGAGAAGAGTTTATTTTATGATTGGCATCAAAAGACATTATTTAAAACCATTATTTAAGAGAGGTTTAGTCTCTAGCTTCAGATAGTGTGCAGGATCTTTTATCTTTTACACACAAACTTATCAATAAAAACCTGATGTGAGAAAGCAGAAATCACGTAAAAGGTTAAAGCGGCGATGCTAGCGGACATGTGCACGTTCTTCCATTCAGCATCGCGGCCTGCTGGAGTCCGTGTGGAAGAGTCTTTTGAGCATGAGGAGCTGCAAGTATCCCGACAGGAGGATGACGAGGCTTTGGGTCGCCGACCACCAGGTGACGTAGTTGAAGTTGGACAGGAGGAGGTAGTGATCCTTCCCTTTCCTCATGCGGGCAAAGTTGTAATGACGCCATATGTGGAAGATCTGATTCTGGAGCTTCTGCACACTCTCCTAAACCAGACGTGGTACGTTGTTTAGTTTACATGTCAACATGCAACAGGTGCAATGTACTGTATGGTCCCATTTGAAAGTAAGGAAGGACCTGAAATTAGCCTCACTCTGATAACATTATGATTAAATACAAACACTTTCTACAAATTAAATTTGTATAAAGTGCCTGCAGGTGTTCCTGAGATATCTCGCTCACGAGGATGCGGACAGACAGACATTTGGAGGGACAATAATGAATTCATGTTACAGCCTCTCACAACAATTTGCCACCACTGGTCTATCACCCCATCACTTTCATTGACACCACTTATTCTATATCTCTTTATGCCAACGACATTCTATTGTTTTTTGATGAGGCAGCTGCACTTTAAAACCCTTCATATTTTAAAGACGTTACACAGAATGTACAGGAGGTTCTGACTGTGCTAAACATAACTAAATCTAGATCCCAGAGACTTGAACCAAGGCAAATACCTCAATTCCGGCCAAAGTGCTGTTGAGGACCTTCTCTGCTTTCTCCGTCTCTCTCTTTGACTCCTCAGAGCCACCGTAGATGACGCCAAAGTTCACAAAGACCCTGATGCCTCCAAACTGGTTGTTGTGGTTCCCAAGACACATCTGGTAAAAACCTGTCGGGAGGACACTGCCATTACCTCAGAGGACGATATAGTATATATATTAAATACTTGTATTTATGATGTGGGTTTCTGATGATCCCACCTGTCACCTCAGTCTGGAAGTTCATCTGACCGACAGGCTGGTTCTTTGAAGCCATGAGAACGCCCTGTGGCGAGTTCACTGTCACAAACAGCCGGTGGTCATTGGCCATCCCGGTTACCCACTGTACCTGAGATCACATGTTAAAAAACACTCAACAAACCCCATGAGAGGACCATCATCTACGAACAAGTATCCTGTGTGTGTATCACAGCGTCGTTGTGGAAGACAGTTCACTAATATCTAATGTTGGCAAAAGATATATAAATATATTATGCAAATATGACCCAATCTGTTTTCACCCATCCACACTACTTTCACATTCTGATTTATCTATAATTTACATGAAATCATCATTTTATCGACGCTTTTCTGTTGATGCTCGTATGGTTATTGGTCATTCATATGACCCGAGGTTATAGATGTTTAACTTTTACTGGTTTGTGTTCAACAACTCCAGATGAAGTTAAAGTCAGCTTTGAAGAAGAGGACCCACGTCTCTCCTTTTTAATCCTTTTTAACATCTATGAGCACATTTCTTAATTTCTGCAAAGTATGGGAAGGCTTTTGCACACATTAGTTACATAATGATCACATGTTTAGAAGTCAAACTGGATGACCTTGAATGTCAGTGTGATAAGCCTGAGGACAAATGGCACACAGAAGCATACCGTGTTGTGCAATCATCTCATGACAGTGCATCACACATATTAACCTCTGCAGACCAGGTGAAGCCCGAGCCTGCAGGGGGATAAACTCACCATGTAGGTCAGGTAGAAGCTTCCACTCTGGTGGGCAAAGTGCCAGAAACACTCCGTCCCTGCAGCAGGAACCTCGAGGGCGAAGTCGTACTTGTCGGATCCCCTGAACAATCCTGCGTCGGCGGCCTCGTTGAGGACGGGCTCTGACTTTCTGCTCCAGACGAGCTGAGAGCTCAACAGGATGAGCAGAGCGTTCAGCAGCATGACCGCAGGTTCACTGAGGACGACGACTGCTTCCTTCTGTTCATTTGAACATATCAGCTAGAAAATAATTATTAACCACATCTACAAGCTCTCAGTCACTAACACTGCACGCCTGATAACGTATCATTGAAAACACAATCATGCTCTGTGATTGTTTCATGAAAGTCACTCAGTGATATTTCACATCAACATTACAGGAGCTCAGAAATACTTTCATCCTGTTTTATTGTTTCACTTTTAAAAGAATAGTTCAATTTATGGGGAATAGTCAAGTAATCTCCAATCTAATTATTATCTAAACCATCCCATATAATATATTAATGTTAATGTTCTTAATTTAGTTGAATTTGCATAAATGTTTTCCTGTTGAACATTGGCAAAAAAGGTAAACAATCCACAGCAACTAAAAGTTGTAAAACAATAAAGCGTGAAATACATTTGTAGGCATTCTAGTGGCAGAAATACTCTGCAGCAGTCACCCTGCTATTATATTAGTAGAATAAACAATTTGTGGATTGACTGAAATTAGATTGTCACCTCTTTTAAAAATTGTTAAAGTATGTTTTCAAAAAGTAGAACCGTTTCACAGCAGCTTCTCAAAGTGATAGTTTGGATGTTCTGAAGTGGGGTTGTATACTCCAGCTCAAAGGCTGCAACAACAACGGGAGACCAGACGAGTGGAAAGAACAACGTTTAAAGAACGCCTTTAACTGAAATGTCTGGAGCAAACGACACTGAACAGCAGGCGTGTCAGCTAGGAAAGAGCTGGTCCATGTTTGTGAGCCTTCATAGCTGATGAACCTCACCAGCCTCAGGTGCGGTTCATCAGCTGACGACCAACATCCTGCAAGACGACTAAATGTCCAGGAAAAGCAACAGAGACCCCTAGAGGACTGGAGGGGTCGTTACACCCACAGTAAACAGTACCAGCACAGAAGTTCATCAGAAGTGTCCCTTAAAAACTAAAAATGTGTCACAACGAGACAAAACAAACTAATCGATCGATGCAGACCACCTCTGCGAGGTTAAATTAGCGTTTTTGTCAATGGAGTCTGGTGAGGAGAGCGTAGATGAAAGAAGAAAGAGCCGTCTGAATGCAAACCCTGCCACCAGGTCTGGTGTGTTTGGACAATTTAAAGTCGGAGCGACACACAAAAAACAGCAACAATCAGCTGAACTGGAACATTTAGACCCGACTACACCCGCCTGAGGAAAACACGCTGCTCACATCATCATCTCGCAGTGAGGTTTTATTGACGCTGAGTGAAGAAACACAAGTACATAAAAACACAAAACATGTAGAACATCTGTATCCCCCCCCCCCCCCCCGAGGGCCTCAGCAGCGGGGCTTTTTCTCCTCCTCGCCGCCGGTCTGGGTGACGAAGAGTCTCTGGAGGAAGAGGAGCTGCAGGTACCCGGAGGCGACGATGAGGAGGCCGAGGGCCACCGACCACCAGGTGACGTACCACGAGTTGGACAGCAGCAGGAAGTAGTCGGCGCTCTTCCTCATGCGGCCGAAGCTGTAGTAGCGGAACACGTGGAACACGTGGTTCTCCACTTTGTGAGTCGCATCCTGCAACAACAATACTGCAAGTATTACTGCTATACTGTCAATATCGTTACGAATACTTCCGTTACTGAGGCCACTACTACTTCAACGACAACAACAGAGACCTACACGATTTTAAATGAAAGTAACACTTTCAATAAGATTAGTATTTTCACAATGTCGTATTAGTACTTTTACTGAGTGTGTGTGTACCTCTATGAAGCTCAGTGTGTTGTTCAGGTCTTTGCTGACTTCCTGTTTCTTCTTCTTCTCCTCCTCTTGGCGCGTGGCGGGGTCTTTGTAGCCGTCGTAGTAAACGCCGAAGCTGAGGAAGACCTGCATGGTGCCGAAGCGGTTGTGGAAGTTGTTGAAACACATCTGATAGAAACCTGGAGAGATGGAATATACACACAGTATATATGATTATTGAAGTAAAAAGTAAAAGTTACAATTCAAAATTGACTCACATAAAATGACTTAAGTATTGACATCAAGATAAACATAAAGTACCAGAAGTAAAAGTATTTGTTTTACAGAATCATATGATTGTTTTATGATTATTGATGCATTCATGTGTTCATCACTTTAATGAGCTGGAGCTCATTCTAATGACTTTATATGCTGATGGTAGTTTGTGAATTTCACCAAGGTATCGATAAAGTTTTATCTTTATCCAAAGAAAATACATCATCATTTATTAGTTGATTATATTTTAATCTGTAAAGTAACTAAAGCTGTCAGATAAACGTAGTGGAGAATAAAGTAGCAGCAAATGGAAATACTCAAGTGAAGTACAAGTACCTTGAAAATTGTACATAAGTACAGTACTGAAGTGAATGTACTTAGTTACTTTTTTACCACTAAAATGTATTTAACCAATACACAAACGTTCTCACAATGAAGCTTCATTCACAGGAAGTGAGAAAATAAAAGACAGTTTGTGACAGACAGACGGACGGACGGACGGACGGACGGACGGACGGACGGACGGACGGACAGACAGACAGACAGACAGACAGACAGACAGACAGACAGACAGAC